AACTAGTGCTCATATAGAAATCAGTTCTGCAAACACTCCTCCATATCAAATGTGGTTGATGTATAGTCATGGCTGACTGCGGGATCATCGAAAATAAATCTAAAAGAAACGGAGCACTCGCCTATCTGACTAGATACCAAGCATCGATAAAATTTTGAAGATTCCACTTTTGATATGAAAACGTTAAATGCCACCAAAAATTTACCTAAAACTAAAATTTGCTAACGGTAAAAATATTGTATTTTGGATTTTCTTTCTGCTGTGCGAACTTTTAGACTGTTTTGAACACGCTGCAATCCTGAAAGTTCAATTAGTAGACAGCAAGATTTCATTCTAGCTCAATGAAAGCCTAGTTTCGGTAACTTTAAATTACATTATAATGATTTTTTTCTAGGCCCACATAGATTCCTTTTTCATTTTGCACGTCTAGTGGCAGGAAGATGATCTTGAAACACTAACAGATAGAGTCTTTGTTTATTGCTGATTACTCAATGAATTCTGATTTCAATGTGGCGTTGTGGTAGAACGGACGTTGTGGGTTTCAACAGGTACTAAAAAGATTCAACAAAGTACTATTATTTGAAGCACTACGCAAAATTATTATACAAATCAATCTGAAGTGAGAAGATTCGCAATATTAATACTACGACACATTACCACTTTGAGTACGACACATCACGTCTTTGGCCTCGCGCCGCCGCTGTGCAGAGACGAGTAGTCCGTCATGCCGAGTAGCTGATGATGCCTGCTATGGAGAAAAAGGCTTCTGGTTCGATACCTTCCCATAACGCTTGGTGCAGCCTCTTTGGTACTATCTTTTGTTTTCCGTTCGATATGCTCCATATTACTACCAAAAAAGCTACACTATCACTAGAAAACCATCACATTGTCGTACAGAGCGTTGCGCTCACTGGGTGATGCTCCGTGTGTTGCGAGAGAGATCAGTATGTTATGCCATACACTGTCGTACACTACTGTACATTGTGCAAAATATATCTTCGAATCCCACTAATAACAACGTCGCAAATAGATGGGAAAAAATTTGCACGGGTGTTGCCAGTCCACGATTTACGTTTTGTACCAAAAAAGAGAGAAATGTTAGACAATTGAGCGTTTTTTACGGCTATAATAACTACGCTATTGTAGAACCGTCAAGTTAAATCGACACCAAAAATTAAAAAGCATAAAAGAAAAAGCTCTTGGCGTTGATCAGTCTCTGAGGGATGCGACATGCATCCGACTACAATTTTTAACTTCGTTTGAGGTGATTAAATGCATATCTGGCCTTTACAAGACTCGCGGTGGCCTCCTGTTGAACCGTGTCAGTGCTGCTTATCCTCCCAGACAAGTCTGAGATGTGTCTGGTACCAATTTAGCGACCTCGGATGGATGGATGGCTTGGTGAGCCATGAGCGCGAGATCGAACCATTGACCTCGTGTGCGACGCAGAGCACCTCTAACCACTGCGTCACATGCTCTCTTACACCTATCCTTACACCTACACCATGAATTAATACCAACAAATCTGATGTAAAGCGTTATGGTGAAAAGGGAACCAGCAGTATTCTCTCCAGTGGCTGGGATCACTATCCACCTGATTACGGAATGTTCGAAGAACGCGGCAGAGGACAACGCCAGCCCAGTGGGCTTGTCGTACCTGGAGTGTTAACTCACATTTTCTCTTTTCAAATAGTGTCGTTACTATCAGGTCGTTATTAGCTTTTGTGTTACTAGGGATTCAGAATAGAAGATAGAATTGGCCGACTTTCTTATCCTGCAAATGGCAATAACAATTTCGTCTTCGGTGGGATTCAACGCATTAAGCTGTGACATTCTCTCCTCAAGGGATCGAAATCCAAATCGAGACAAGTGAGCTATTCGTTCTTCTAAACCAGTTGACACACATTTTTTATGTCTAAAAAAGTACTACTCTTTGTAGTAAAAAGAACTGAACTTATACATATATGGTTTTGATTACCAATGACTTGCCGTTCATAATTTGCAAAACATACCCTTTCGAAAATTTCCGATGGCTGATAGCGTTCTCTATAGTCAGGATCAAGAAGGCCTTCTTACCACCTTACCACTTCTCGCACGTTTAGACGCAACCAAACATCTTTGATATAAGCCAAAGAGTAATTGTTGTTGAAGTAAAACGGGGTTATCTTCACCCTTTGTTCTACCACCCAGTGGAAGCACAGAAGTAGCACAGGTTTGTTCAGGTAAGAGCGGCAAGTTATCCATGTGGCGCAGATTGGAGGCTAGCTTCTCATCAAGCATTTTCACTGTTCACACATAAAGTTTGGTCCTTCTGGATTGAAGAGTAACCGCCTCCATAGAATGAAAAATTTCCGGATACACGAATCGTAACCAGCGAGAAACTCTAGCTCAACACATATCGAAGATGGTTTTAGAGAAAAAGATGGAGTTCTTGGCGCTCGTTAATCTCTTGAGGGATGCGCGATGGAGTCGGCGTCATCGGGAATCGTTGGAGGTAACTGTATGCATAATGAGCCTTGACAGTAGCTCTTAGTAGCTTAGCGAAGCATCAGGTCAGTGCTATTATCCTCCCGATAAGTGTGCTATCAATTCACCGGCGCGGGAGGAAAGGAGAAGGCTTGATGCGGGGTAAACGTATTGATCTTGTTTGAATCGCAGGGAATCACTAACCACAACACCAAAAACCTGCCTAATAGTTATAGAGAAAGAAATAAACCCTAATCACCATACCTTATTGAGATTATTCACCATATATGAGGTGAATCAGCTTAAAGGTAATAATGATAGACAAAAAGAGATACTCAAAATCATAAAGGTCGAAAATCAGGAACGCTTGGCAAAACAACAATCAATCCCTTTCAATACTGGAGTACTTTCAGATCAAAAAGATTCACAAAGCTTATCTTAGCAAATACGTGAACAGGGCAAACATTGGTGAAAGGTCTACAATTGCTGGAATAGTCGACATGCTCTTGAGCTGTTCGTTCGACAAGCTCTCGAACACGTCACAGTGGGATGAAGAAGTATCTGGATTACATAAACGTCGTTTTCTTCTGTGATGAAAAAACAAATCTTTCACTCTGAGATAATAACTAATTATTATTACCCGCGCACGAATAGCATGTATGGTAAAATGATAGTGGAACGGTGCACAAGATTAATGGAGCTTAGGGCGATGACACGTCTGCAGAAAAGACAGTTAGGAAGTTGTTCGCGAAGTTCAAAGCTGAAGAATCAGTAGCTCTTAGTCCGTCCACAAGAAGTTGATTGTCAAGCTGTCCTTGAGGTGGTCGAAGGAATCTCTCAATGAGAAGCTGAACGTCACTTGAAGAGTTCAACTCTTGCTTCAGGTCATTGCCAACATTCTGCATGAACTCGGTACTGTCTTAGAGAAGTCAAAATGGGTGCAACATTAATCGACTAAAGCCCATAAGGAAAAGGTTGTTGAAGTTGCTCGAACTCTTCAGCTAGTATTCGATATGCCACTGAGAGATTCTCTTTAATCATCTCAAGGACAGCTTGACGATCAACTTCCTATAAACGGCCTGAGCGCGAGTGGTACTCTAGCCTGTTCTCTTCAGCCCTGAACTTCGCAAAGCACTTCCTAGCCGTCCTTTCTGCAACTGTATCATCACATTTTAATCTTGTGCGCAGCTTCAATATCATTTTCCCTTCGCGCCATACGTGCATGGGTAACAAGCGAATTTGTTCCCAAAACAGCTTCATTCTAAAGCAAATATAGGTAAATTGTTACCAAAAAGCTGGCAGGAAAATGCGCAGTTGAAGGACATAAAATAATACAATTTATTTAGTTCTAGCTGGTACGTTTTGTGTTTATTGCTCTAGTTCCAAACATATGGGACGATCAAATAAATGTGAGTGGACCTCACAAATAACAATGGTGAAGCAACAATTAACAATAGCACAATAGCAACACAGTCACAAGATTCTTTCAATACATTCATGTGCTCTTCGTGCTTTCCGCGAAGCAACATTTGATTTGCGCGCCCGATTAACATAATTTATTTTCAATTTTTCAGGCAATCAAAAGGTTTTTACGAGGTCGACTATGCATGGCGCTGTTGAAATTTAAGCTTTCGATTGATCACTAACAACCTTTATAAAAGATTCTCGTTAGGTGTAAGGGATAAGCTTGAAAACCTGCATCACCAATTGGAAATGAACCAAAACTAATACAAAATAAGCAAGCTGAGAAAAATCAAGACATTTATTTGGCAGGCAATGTGTTTCTAGTCTATGAAGCAAAAAACTTCAGTTATCCGTGTCGGCAATAAACTGTGGAAATACTCAGTGGTGTAGAAGTGTAGAATGATGTGCAAAGCCTTTGCGTCAGCCGGGACTTCAACCCGCATCTCATTTTATCCGGTAGCGCGTGCTCTAACTCTTAGCACTACTGACGCCCGTTTTGCCATCACTCTTTCCAAATTACGAAAATTGAGAAAAATATCGCAATACACAATATAAGAACAATGTGGGAGAAAAATCAATATCAAAGAAACAATCGAAGAGAAATCTTAGGATTTCTTATGTTTCACGCGCTCTTTTCGCAGTGCTATGATGTTTCAAATTTGTCAGGAGAACTGAGTGGTAAACAAAAAGACTCGATTCAGGCGTGATTTAAACCTACGTTTCACCCTTACGGGGGGTGCGCTACCACTACACCACAGAAACCACGGCTTACACACCACTCATTCTTCGTATCTTACTATCATAGCTATCAGCCACCAACCGTTAACAGGTTTGATCGGGTGAGCACACATCGCTTTCTAAGCCTAGTTAAGCTGACAGCCATAGTGCATATATAATACTCAGGACTCCTTATGTAACTGCTCTTTTTGTAGTGCTATGGTGCTTCAAATGTAACCACGAGAATTGAGTCATGAGCAAAAATTTGACTTGAGACGGGAGTCGAAGCCGTGTTTTACCCCCACCGGGGCTTTGATAGTGAGATATTGAAGAAGCAAAAGTGGGCGAGTGGTGGTCTTGCTAGTGCAGCGGTAGCACGCGCTCCTGGTATGGGTGAAACGCGGGTTCAACTCCCGTCAAGGTCGAATTTGTGCTCACCTCTCAATTCTTTTAGGTACAGACGAAATAAAGTAACGTAAACATTAAATCGACTGACAATGTGTTGTTAGTCTGGCAATGTTGGAACGAAAAAAAAATCAAGAAAAAACATGCCTCCAAGAGCAATTTCCGCGTAGCGTTTTTTTCCAACGTTAGTCATTCAGGATACGATCAGCAGCCTCGTATCCGCGACTCGTTGCCTCTGACACAGCATCTATTGCAACCTAAGCAAAACGTACGCAATCGTGATGTTTTTGAACTTTGCAACAGGATGAAACTATCGAAGTTGTTTTGATAGTGACTTCGGAAAAAAATCACCTAGAGACCACGCACAAAATTGGATAAACTTTATGCATATAGAGGATAAAGCTCTCGGCGATGATCAATTCCTGAACCTGCGGTAACTTTCTGCTGTTTTGAGTCAGTGCCGATTATCCTCTCAGACAAGTCTGAGGCCTGTCTGGTACCAATTCACCGACTTTCGGGGGATAGATAGTTTTGTGAGCTACGAGCGCGAGATCGGAACATTAACTATGTGTGCGACACAGAGCATCTCTTACCGCTGCACCACATGCGCTCATTATGCATAGCATGCAGTGCAAAACATATTCGAAACAGCAGCAAGAGCATGCTGAACGGGCGAAGTACTAACTTGCACGTCATTTTTATTGCTAAATTTCAAATTACTACCAGACATCTTACTAGCGGTCATGACGTCAGTGCTCGCTTTGAAGACTTCTAAACGAACTGCACTCAAGTGGAAGGTAGAGCAGTTACACAAATTTCTTCCACCAGATTCCAAGATCCAAGATATTTGTGAATCCACAGCACTGTCTCACAGCTCCTGTCATTCGATACAAGCACTCAAACTCCATTGCCATGACCTAATCGGAATACGTAGCCCCGCTTTCTCTTTGAAGCAGAGTCACCTATTCGAAGTATTGTCAAAGCTAAGGCTATCGTGATTGGAACAGCCGTGTGTACAATTATACAACTGGCCAACTCGAGCGTTGCATGAGTTTAAGCAAAATTTATTCTTATCTTACCCATTACGATTCCAGAGTTTTCTAAGATCTTGGCTATAAGGAAATAAAATAATATTCAACCTCATTCCCTGTGCAAGAATTTTTCACAGAAGTTTGGTAATCATTCGAAAGCTCAAATCTCTGACTAAAGCGGTACATGGCCGGTTTTTCAAATACGTTTTATAACGCTGCAAAATCCGAAATAAAATTCTGTTTTGTGTCGGCCGTGCGCTTTTATTTTTATCACTCGTTTAATTCGCGTGAAGCAGTAATGTATACGGAGTGTAGAGAAAATTGCGTGGTATCTGAGCATATCGTTCCATATGGAGTTTCTTTCAGAGCGGAGAGAAAATTCCCGGTTGAATAACAACTTGCTCCCCACACGGCTAGTCCGTCAAGTGATCGCGATCCACAACAATCACCATGAGATCAAAAATTGTATACTACTATCCAAATGGGAGTTGTGCTTTCTCTCTCGTCTCTCTCCCTTCCTCTCTTTCTGCCTAACTCTTTATATATAAATATATATGCATATAATTGTACATATACACAGATATGAGTTTTTATATATATATATATATACATATATATACATATATATAAAATATATATAAATATATATATATATACATATTACGCATATGTACCTATATACGTATATATAAAAGCATGTATACACAGTGCACATATATACTTCACACATGTGCATAAATGTACGTAGACATGTATACACACAGAAATATCAGTTATAGCTCACCGTACCTTTATTTCTTGAGCAATCCTCTTACATCCGTCATCGAGCATGGGTGATATGTCCAAGTAATTGGCTGCCTGCAATGCGAATATTATAACTGATACCAAACGAGATTGATTGTTAACATGAACTTCCAAGTCACCTTATAATGTACCGTAATGACCTGAAGCAGCGTAGCTTAGTCGACATTGAAAAAGTCGTCTGCCACTTTTTTAGAACCTTTTCAGCATCAGCACTATGTTCTTCAAGGTGCCTTTCACACCACAGCAGCACCTGTAGTAGAATATCCAGGTAGTATTAAAAGTTGTCATCTTAACATTTATTTAATCTTAGGTCTATTATTTCCTTTCTTACGAGATGAAGAAGGCACGCTGTAGCATAGAACCTAGTATAAATATAAACTGACTATAAACATTTTTTCTATAAGCAAAAAACCGGACATATCAATTGAGTGAAAAACTAACGTCATTAGAAAAAATCTACTTCTAAGAATAATGATGGTAATCAAAATATTCGACCTTTGGCGAGAGTTGTACTCACGTTTCACTCATCCCAGGAGTATGCTAACACTGCACCACCAAGGCCTGCGCTTTACTATCACTTTTTCTTCCGCATTTCGTGTCGCAGCTATCAACAACCAACCACTGACTAGATTAGTTGAGTAAGCATAGGATATATCGAAGATTGGTAGCAAAGCAGTGGAATCGGTGGTGTAAAGATAGCATCCGTTTCTGATATGAATAAAACCCAAGTTGAACTCCCAAATATGGTCGATAATTCAAATAGTTTTGAAAATTTTGATTAATGATTACAACCGGCGAGGAAGGCAATTATATAGACGATTACCTTTCTGAGCAGCTGCGAGTGAACGTTTGGTAAAGGATTGGCGCCTTATCATCTTAGACGTTCAGGTCCTGGATTCTAATATTCCTCAATACCAACATTGAATGAGCTTATTGAAAAAACGAACCTTAAGTGCTGTATCGATGATCTTCGACATGGCCATAACTGTTGCAGGGACCTCGCGATTCATTGTCCTTCGTTTGGACCTTATACATTCTTTGGTCGCTACTCGTCTCCGTGCTTGGGTCAGAGTTGCCGCGAGACTCCGTTCTGGACATGATCCTACAAAAAAACACATTTCCTGTCTTTAAATAAGTTCAATAATAGGGATAAAATATGACCGAATCAATCGATACGAAGTCAGAAATCGCATTTGGGTCTGCAACTCTGATTATCCTAGGGATTGCGGTTTGAGAAGACTAGCCGAGTTTCAAATTTTGAAGGTCTAATACACGGTAACCAGGAATTGTAACAGAGGCAATATGTCAGCAAATCAGTGCCATCTTCATGAATTGAATGATTCAGGCAAGAGAAAATGGAAATCAATGGTTGAAAACACAACAAGAATCAAATTATAGAGAAGCGTGAGTTGAATCTCATAGATGGATATGTCAGCAAATCCGTGCCACTTTTATGAATTGTTATGATGTGCTGATGAACGCATGTGGCACAGTAGCTAGAGGTGATCTGCGAAACACACATGGTAGATTAGTTGATGGTTTAATCCGCTCTCAAGGCTCATCAAGCTTTCCATCCCTCCGTGGTCGGTGGTTTAGTATAATTTGTCCAGGAGGATAGCAGCAGTGACTTGTTACATCGGTAGGATACCGTGAATCGTTATAAAGGCCAAATATAAATTCAACTGCCTCTCAAAGTGCTTGATGAAGACGAATGCGTATCCTCAGGGATTGCCAACGCCGAGGGCTTCATCCTCCTCGGTTTCTTGAAACGGTGTGCTTATGTGCTGAGAGTAGACTTCAGATATACAGTGGGGGAGCTGATGATGTAAAACTGCTTATTATTTAAGATGATTCTTCTGCCAACCGATTGACACTGCACAGATCGCTAGGATTAACAATTTCCAGGGAACTGGTAAATCAAACCAAAAGTGGAATAAAGCCTCCTTCACGTCAGTTGAGAACAAATGTAATCATAAAGTACTTCCAAGAAGTGGAAGCATTTGACTGTGAACAGATTTGGAGCGAGTTAAAATGAGACGCCGCCTCCAGGTTACTCATAGTAAACTTGGAAGTGACATTTATGGTACATATTCAACAGGCAGTAGCGATAAAGAGAACTTGCACACTTGTTAATGGACCATAAAGGGTGTATACGCGTAAATGTGTTAATTATAGATGTTTGTATATGTATGCCATTTTCAAACAGTCAAGCGACATTAATTCTATTTGACGTAGCCAGTGAAAAATTAATTCAGGAAAGAGTTTTCACATTGGCAAGAAATAGTGCCTATGCAAAGTCAGCTCTGTAAATCGCTCTTTAATTCAACTGTGGCTGACGTATTGTCATCGCTAATTGGGCAGTCGTCGAAAATAGGTCTATAAGAAACGGAGCACTTAGTAATCTCATTGGATGAGGATCGACAAAAGGTAAAAAAAATTCCGTTTATGATACAAAAAAACGTTACACACCATTAAAAAGTTGCCTCAAACTTGACATATGATAATGGACGGGTATTGTACTTTTTTTCCGCAGTGCCCCCAAAAGGCTTTGATTACTATCAAATCATGAAAATTCAATTAGCAGAAAACAAGAGTACATCTCATTTCAACGAATATTTACATTCGCTTTTTCTTACATTGCAAAATTGCCTTACAATGAACAAAATCATTTGTAATCAGCCAATATCGTCAGTTATCAAGTTGAACTATGCATTCATTTATAGTTATATAAATTATTCACCTGAATGGGTTAAAATGCTAAAACTATGCAACGCATACCGTTCTAATCTCATCTGCGAACTCTTCTGCGTCTGCATTACTTGTAGAACAACTCATTTCTTATTCTGTGGTTTAAAGAAGGTGATCCACCAAGCAGATTTGACGGTGGACTCTGTGACCATTCATTAACGATACATAGATCGTTTTCGTAGCTGCTGCGCTGATCCTATAGAACATAGTGTTGAAAAAACAATGAGAATACATTAAATAATGAGCAATGGATTAGTACTAGGCATTCTCATAAGGTCTAGCAGTAGTGCACTAAACACCATATTTGAGACCCAGAAATAGGATCATACAAAATTATTTTACTCAAGTCACTTTTAGCCGCGTTATGATGTTACAAGTATATTCAATGATGTTAAATGATGAGCAGGACTTTGACGTCAGGCGGATCTTCAATCCGC